CAACGGAATTGTTAAGAAACCCTTCTTTCTGCTTCAATGCACCTCTACGAAATGTTAGTAAGATTATTGTACTGACCTCCTTGGCTTCTCATTGTTCAGTGACAAGGTGTTTTCATCCGTTGAACTATTTATACGGTAAGCATCCAGTTTTTTTAAAAGGAAACTAGCATGTCCTTTGAAGATTGGAGACTATCTATAGTAAATGATAGTTTCTATGTTTGTTACTCACCTCATTCGTGAATGACGTTACATTCCAGAAATGACCAATTGTCATCTGGTTGGTCACAGTTTTTTAGGTGGATATCGACAAACTCTGTTGCATAGAGACAAAATTCTTTGTCAACAATCCACAGCTTGGCTGCTATCATAAGTTGTTTCTTGCTTGGTACGTCTACAATGACTTATTGTTTGTTAGTTGGCTAAATATTACATAAGAGGTAATGAAATGGTTTATGGTCATGACTTCAGCACAAATGAAAGAAAATACATTCACATAAAAGTATGTCAATAGGACAATAACTAAATAATGGATACAGATAATGGCAACACATTTGCGATCAATATCCTTAACTGATACCCATATGTGTTCATGACTAGCTACTAAGCACATAAATATTCCTGTATTACTAGAAGGGATGGGATCTTCGAAGTAATTGCGTGGGTCTGTGAAAGGCCTAAATTTCACTAGTCCATTCTCCCCTATATTAGTAACTAAACCAGGCTTTCCATGTACTACTACTACTACTACATTATCTGGCTTAAATGAAGTTATTCTACTATTCTTACACATAATGACTTGTTTATGTGAGTCCTTATCGGTTATTGGGGTAGTATTAGTCGAAGTGCTCACTTGAAGCCTATCCCAGAAATACATTTTCTCTGCATAACGCTGAGCTGCTTGCTTTGCAACGGCATACCCACTTTGCACTGAATTCTAAATTTGTCTCATATAAGACACGAATGGCAATTCTGAAAAACTATCTAAAGGTCCATGTGCACGAACATTATCAGGAAGGTGCTGTAACAAATGCACATTATAAATTAAGTTTTCAGACCCATAAAACCATTCATATTCTTTAAGAAAACTCCCTTAATCCATTCTGACATTCTACAACGCTATTATGTAATTTAGGATGTGCAAGCAAATAAACCGGTAACGCTAAACGCTTGAAATTAAGATACAAAGGTTTCGGCAAAGTTTTTTGCAGAATTACGGGGCCTAAATATAAAAGAAACAACCTACACTCCGAAGCTTTCCATACGGATACGAAGTCTAGTTTACGGCATTTATGCTGAAAGTCGGAGGGAGTACTTGCCACGCAACTAAATATTAAATTATTTATATCCCTAATTACACATGAGTTCATGTTTAATAGTCTTTTGTGTGCAAATTCTATCCATAGATTGGCTGATTTTTTGTGACACCTAAGTACACCATGTGCATGGGATCTAATGAGAAAGTTGAGATCATATTAATTGGAAGCGTTTCTAAAATGGAATGGCCTTGACGGTGAATAGATTGGGTCTGACGACAAAAGCTATCGTCAGTTCGTAACATATATCCGCCATTTGGAGAAGCCATCTTCCCGTCAAGCCGTCTACCAACTACAATACACCTGTCGCAACCTGCCTTTCCATTGTGATTAACCGTGTATCTAACATCAGAACGAGCAGGTGCATCACATATTACAGCAGACAACTTAACAGCTATGTATTTATTGAACTTAACACTAGGCAGACCCACGTCGGTCATTTCTTTTATTTCAGAAATAGTGTCCGCAGAAATTTCGTTGAATTCTGCCGGCTTAGTATTCCCTCCATACGTTCCTATCATGAACACGTCACTATACCTTGAGGCAACGATCCGTCCTAATACTGGCCATAAATGTTGACTAGAGCTCCTTGAGATAGAAAGTCAATCTATATCAATATACAATTCTAAAGTATCGAAATCACAAATACAACCAAAGTTCAACATATTTTAGCAGACTGTTTTTCAATCCGATATCGTAGTAAACCCCACTGCTGATGAACTTTGGTTGGACACTTGTGCACTTTTTCAGAACACTTCTAATGCAGCCCGGTAAGTCCGGAACGAAATCTCGGAAATCATTCAGAATCCGATTAGCATCTCTGGTGCTCAGACAGGTTTTTGTCATTAAATTCATCAATATCTTAATGATATGCTCTTTACGATTTACAAACTTCTGAGAGCACAAATTAACATCATGATATCCTATAACAAATATGTTAACGTATTAATTTCATACACGAACCATTATCATCCAGAAGCCTTTCACTGCTGCAGTTTGTGGATGGTGTTATAGTTGAAGGAATCTGATTACAATTATTATCTTTGTTGACTACTATCAATTCAACATAAACCACTGTTAAAGTCAGTTATCTTTGATCGTGCTTTCATTAGCAAACTTACCAAACCAAAACAAGTTTTGTTTTATCATGAAAGCTGTTCCCCTTTCCTCGCCTTTATTTCCCTTTTATTGGTTGATCGGGATGGAGTGAAATGCGAACAGTTTTCATGATAAAACATAAGTTGAGTCAATTTTCCAATTTTAGATCGAGGCTGAAAAGTTGGTCGTCTTCATTTCTGCCCTTTATATATTAGAACGAGCCTGCTCAACTGCTTGATAGACAGTAGAAGCCGTGGACGTGAATAAAATGACTGTATGATCTCTCCTCCCTGTAGGTGATAAGAACATTATTTGACTAGCCTCATCAATTTGTGTGAAGACTAATTCTAAGACAGACGAGGAGTTTGTTGGATCATATGTGATGGGATCTTTAATGTGTCGGAATAAATCTAGGGCGATTGCTGTTCCTAACAATTTGCAATAGAACTATGTTTTTGATTACCTTCTTTTAGGTTTCCCCACTTTATAGAGGGTACAATAAAGTTATCTACTGTAAAGCTTTTAAACCTGTTTGATCAGGATTTAAGTTTATTTAGGAAGAAGTCATCCACTACATATTCTGAACTGCGATGTATTAGAACTAATTCAATGTCTTGCCCTTTGCAGTTCAGCCGGCGACACGCCAGTTCACATGTCCCTGAGTCGTGTACCATCGTCTCGACATCTTGTATGGTTAAGGTGCTTTTCATATGCACGATAACCCCACCACCCTTACGGTCCTACAATGTAAGAAACCAAGCAATCGAATCTCGCTATCATACACTTCTGACGGTAACCACGTTTCTGAGCTCCGCCATTTTATTTAGTAGGCTGCCAGCATTAGTATAACAAACTTTTAATTATGTGAAATACTTTCCTTTACCACCCAGAGTGGTTCGGGCATCGTTTTGCTCCGAACTTTTACATTGTGAAAACCTTTAAGTACAAGGTATTTTCATCGTTCCGTCGGTGCTCATTTATTTCTGCCTCTGCCCGATCGTCTCTGCATACGATCAAACAAACTGAGATCAAAACCGGCGCATGCTCCTTATTCGGTCTGTTTGCGTAAATTTTTAAATATAAAGGTTTTTCTTCCGTGAAAACAAAAGTAAATCTTGATACGCGACCTGCCTATGTACTTTCAGAATTCACTTTTTGTCTCATTTTCTAGTTTCTGAATGCTAACTCCTACTACTGTTTCCAGGAGTAGCTTGGTTATTAAGGACCTAGTATGACTCAAGTCATGTTCGATCTTTTCTTTTCCAGAAGAATGATCTCTTGGCTTTGTCTGGCTAGTCAAACAGAATTATTAACCACCGCTTAATTTTCCAGTCGAGCATATAGATCTACGCCTGGTTTTAAAGTTGCATTATAATATTGGGATTCAATATAGGAGCTACTAGACTGATTTTTATTATTGTTTATTTGAACACATAAATATTGGTACAAGAGGGCACCAAATATATATGTGCCACACAAAACAATGAGAATGAGAAGAGAAACAAGAAAGTAAGGAAAAAAAGAACAATAAAGACCACAAATTAGTGTGAGATAATGTATTAATAATAATAATAATAATAATGGGGGAAACGAAAAGATACAACCAGAAGAAATCGTTCAGTTAAGGAAGAAACAACCATTTTTTAATGAAGAAAGTAAAAGAAGGTTACAGCAGGATCGCCACTGGCTTTTACTCTGAGCCATATCTGATAACGTCTCTAGCCACTGTGTAGCACCATCTCTAGGACCCCAACCAGGGAGTCATGAAGGACCAACAAAAGCCAGCCCTTTGCAGCTTTCTTTCATACCACGACACCATGTCATACACTAATCACCTGTCCGCTTTTTTTTCAACGAGTCTCAGCGTCGACAAATAATGCACGACGTGGAATTCTCTGGGAGGACATTCGTAGAACATGTCCAAGCCACCGAAGTCGATGTTTCAAGATGATGACACCAATTGGATTATCTTCTCTTCGCCCAAATACACGATACCGAACCTCTGCATTACTAACATGGTGTTCCCACTGGATGTCAGCAATCTTTCGGAGACAACGATGATCAAACACAGAGAGCCGTCTAACATCCTCAACTCAGAGAGGCCAAATTTCACAAGTATAGAGCAGAACTGCTCTCACCGACGCGTTGTAGATCCGACCTTCCACAGCCAGACTAACATCACGAAGGCGCCAAAGATGGCCCAGATTGGCCTAAGCCGCTCTGGCTTTCACTATACATGGATTGATCTCATCACTCACACCACCACCAGCTACCTAGATTGATACATAGTATCAGTCCGTATAATTCATTAACTGGTAAACTGAGGAATGAGTTGTAGACTCTTAAGTTCTTGTAGACTGTTATAACGTATGCTTGTAGATGTCACTTGCTGTAGCTTCATAATGTGCCTTCAAATGACTGTTTTTTTTTAATTCATTTTAGAGTTTAAAGTAAATAAACAGTCATTATGAGGTGGATCCCTCTAGAAGCTAATCCTCAGGTATTTTTGCGATTATCTGATAATTCTTTAGGTCCTGAATGAAGTACACACTATTTTAAAGATACATTAAATTTCTAACGTTATAGTATATGAGTAAACTTGGAGTTGTCGAAGAGTCATGGAAGTTTATAGACATTTTTAGTTTGGATGATGATATGCTTGCATTTGTACCAGAACCCGTGATAAGCCTATTATTTTTATATCCTCTTGAAACTTCGATTGAAAATGCTTCATTAGGTGTTGAGGATAACTCATCCAATGTTGTTTTGATCAAACAAACGGTCGGTAATGCTTGTGGAACTATAGCTATATTACATGCCATAGTAAATAATAAACAACATTTAAGCATCAAAGGTAAGTCATGACTTTTTTTTCGTTCGAAGTGTTTGAGATTTATCATACATTCTGGAGGTGTCAAGAAAACTTATAGTTCAAAACGAAATCTCATCTATGAATATGCTAGACCTTTGTAGGCAGAACTGATTTCTGAAAATGGACGTACATAACACCATGAAATACTTTAGTAAATTTTTGATGGACTTTTGTTCTCTGAGCTAAATGGTTTATTCGTGGGGCTTTCATCGTTCTTCTGAATAATATCAGCACACACTTCAGGTAGAAGTGAAGTGTTCGAATCCGAACATAGTGGCCAATATGTAGGTTGCATCGCTCACCGATCAATTCTACATTCTGATACAACTTTTAATTAAGATTGTTCAATATTCACTACATTATCAGCCAGGTAGGTTTTCAAATGATGGTCAGTCAGTCAGTAAAAACGTAGAACTTCGTACGTACGTACATCAGTTCGAGTTGCCGCACCACATTAGCACACAGATGTAGTGGTCGATTCAAATCCCGTAGTAGTAGAGGTAATAAGAGTATAAGCAGTAATCGGGAAGATTAGTGTTTGGAGATGTTACTTGAAGAGTATAATACAGTGGAATAAATTTGAGAGGAGAAAAAAGGAAAAAAAAGAGACAAGGAGGAATAAGGAGATCAAAATTTAGGAGAACACAAAGAGTGTATGCACCTGCGCCATTGCAAACGATTTTGAGCCATGTCATTCAGGGTCTCTAACCATCGGTTGCTATCATCTCGCGGTCCCCAACCAGGTAGTCTACACCTACCAACATGACTCAGTCCACTTGTCAGTGACTTCATGAACTTGTGCCATGTTTTGGTCTGGCCACCCTTAGCTTTCTTCCAACCTACTCCTATACCACTGAACATCGCACGTCGAGGCAGTCGGTCGTTGGGCATACGTAACACGTGTCCCAGCCATCTCAACTGATGAAGTTTCATTCCGTCATCAATTGATTTGCCATCCCTACCTAGTACCAGTTTCCTAACAACTGCATTACTTACTCGATAGTCCCATGATATACGAGCAATATTTCGAAGACACCTATGATCAAATACTAGTAACCTACGAATATCCCTTACTCTTACCGACCATGTTTCACTGCCATAAAGTAGGACGGAACGAACTGCTGTGCAGTAAACACGTCCTTTGGTTGATAGACGGATATCTCGCCTACGCCATAAATGACGCAAGTCGGCAAAAGCTAGTCGAGCCTTCTGTATCCGTGCTGAGATTTCGTCACACACCAGACCACAAGGGCTGATGAAACTTCCAAGATAAGTGGAGCGATCGACACGCTCAATTACTTCACTCCCTATCATTAGTTCGGGTGTCGATGCAACCCAAACCTGAAGCAACATTTTGCATTTCGAGGGGGAGAATCGCACCCCGAACATGCTTGCATTGTTGCTTAGAGTGGTCAGAAGACTCTGCATTTTGTCAGCGTCTTCACCAAATAGAACTATGTCATCGGCATATTCTAAGTCAACAAGTGAACCTCCTGGTAGAAGTTCAACCCCTGGAAATCTAGACGAGGAAAGTGTTATCTCTAAAAGTACGTCGACCACAAAGTTGAACAAGAATGGGGAGAGTGGACAGCCCTGTCGAACACCACATTGGGTAATCAATTCTGATGACAGTTCGTCATAAGTTATAACTCGACCAGTTGTGTTTGAGTAGAGAGCCTTTATAAGGTTAATGTACTTCTTTGGTACTCCTTTCAGTGACAAACATTGCCATAGAACCTCACGATCAACAGAGTCGAATGCCGTCTTAAGGTCGAGAAGTACTACGATTGTGGGGCATCTGAACGTGTGTCTGTGTTCTAGAACCTGACGTAGTGTGAATATGTGGTCTATACAACCACATCCAGGTAAAAAACCAGCCTGATTTTCTCTAGTCTGCTCTTCACGAGCTTTGGTTAGGCGTAGAAGTATTATTGAAGCTAATATTTTAGACACTATATTAGTCAAACTGATTCCTCTGTGATTGTCACAAGAGGACTTTTGTCCTTTCTTATAGGCTGGCATAAATCGAGTCGGTTCTTTATTTTCGCATTGTGAGGTCAAATGAATGACGCTACTCGGATCCTGTATGCGCGTTTCGAAGACGCAGCACACATCGATGGCGCGAGATTTTAAAGTCGTAGCTAAGGAAGCCTGTTGTCCTATTTGGCAAAGTGTTCGGACGTTAAAAGCTCCCACGTGTAGTTTAGAGCGTGGTTTCAGGAGACCAGGAATAGCGTTTTACGTACTCGAATCGTTTGTCCTAGCGGTGCGAGGTGATAAAGGGACGTGGGGAGGGTTAGTCATGGAGATAAGAGAGGTATTAGGAGGTGTAGGAAGCATTTGAATGTGACCAACTTGGTCTCGTGTGCTGTTACGGGTATGAGGGCTGATGTCACTTCCCGAGTCACACTGTGGAAGGGTATTTCTTGAGGAACCTGAAAAGGAAATTGGATTTGTGTTGGTCTTAAAGACATGGGAACGTGACCGCAGAACCCAAGGGACAACTGCTTGAGGCCGGTCGCGCACGGCCTTTTCGTGGAAGGTTTTTAATGCGTTAGCTCTGTTCTTCAAAGGGCCTTACCGCCAGAGACGGAAATCCGTGAGGTAAGGTGAGGTGTGACATTTTTAGGGTCGACGTTTTCTAACCCCACCCCTCCTTGTGGGAAGCCAGCATCGCTACAGATGTTGGTTGTCTGAGGGAAACACCTTACTGCTGTCACACCTCTCTACAGTCAGCAGTACGACTTCGCCCTCAGACCTTGAGTTACTGCTTTTAGTCTAACCGTTCTCCAATCGACCTGCCTGACATGGTAGAACCTACAGGAGCATATGTTCCAGCCAATATAGCTCGGTTGGGTCATCACGATAGGCAAGCCCGACCACCGTGTCAAGGTAGCAGCTTCGGTCGGGTCAAATGATGGTACTAAATGCTTTACTGTTTTTGGCACGTGAGAGTTAGAAAATGCTATCAGACAAAATGTGTCATACAACAGGTTTCTCAGTCCATTTTGCAAAACTCATATTGTGTACTTTCTACTTTTAACCATCTTATCCGGAGTTTAAATTTTCGGTATTATTTTACCGCATTTTCCACTTCATGTTTTCTTTGTATGTCATCAAGAAATGTAATTAGAATTAAGCTTTGGCTAATTGGTTAATAACAAGCCATTTATTTCACATAAATGATAGTAATAGTAGATTTTAACTACGCTCTCTAATATAATATTCCAGATGGTTCCTTTTTGAGCAACATTTTAAAGGAATTCGAAAATAAGACACCTGCTGAACGTGGAGTTATCGTGGAGAGTAAAGTAATTGGATTCATCTTGATTTATTTTCTCTACTAGAAAGAAATCTCCGCGTTGCATGAGAAGTCAGCACTAAAAGGTCAAACAGAAGTTTGTTCATTTATTTGAATTTTATATTTTGCAATCTTTATTTAGGCACCAAACGCTGAATCAAAAACTAATTTGCACTTTGTATGTTTTGTTGAGCATGACGGATCTCTATATGAACTCGGTATGTTATGCCTATCGTAAACCTCGGAAATGTAATACTCACTGTATTTTAATATTTAGTTGTGATTGATTTACAAGTAATGAGTAACAAATGTAGTCGATAGATTAAAACATAAAATGAAGTATGGGAACTTAGGTTTAAATTTACCTCAAATGTTATTATATGAAGTAGGATTCAAGGTAATCATAATATTCTAGAAATATCACTTCCTATAGATCACTCAGTCTTAATCTTAGAAACTTTTGTAATTATCATAATAAATCTAAAACTATGACTCACTGATGTATACATTTGATTTTTAATCATTGAGCCATACGTTCACATATTATCTCACCTTTTACTTCACTGAGTGGTGTTTTGAGTTCTTATACAAAAATGTGGTTCTACGATTACGGAAATTTGTGTTTTTTCTTATTAAGTTGCTTGCAGGAATTTGCTGAATTGCTTTCTGAATAATCATTCTTTTTTATATGTTTGTTTGTGATAACTTATACGATCCTCACGAATTATGTTAAACAGGTAGGCCATGATTGGTTGGAAAGTTAGTGACCTACAAACTGATCTCCAATTGACTATAATATTTATCATATTATCTTTTACATAAGCACGTCATTTTGTTACGTAATAAATCCATCCTTTTGCCAGTGGTCTTGTTTATGATTTACAATCATCCGTGGGTTTAGGTCAGTAATTTGGCCTCCTGAGAAGCCATCATTCAGCCGCATCGAATCATTGAATGTTATCGGTCGGTCAGTATTTTAATTATTGATTCTAAAAATGGAAAATTTGTTCATCAAACTGTAGATCTCTAATCCATAAAAATAGTATCAACGTGGTTATTCATACAATAAAGTATTGACAGAAATAAATCTACTTAACTATTTTAAAATAGCTATCACCTTAACTTCCTTGGAAATAAAGAAGCTTATTCGTTTCCACCAAATTTAAAATAAGTTCTGACCATCATAAGTATTGTACTCTAAGTTTAGAGGTCAATCTTCAGTTTTACTGCGAATTTACCACAATCTAAAAATTGACTCATCCAGTAGATGTAGGTATGACAGTAGAAAATATTTTATTACTGGTTGCACTCAATGTTCACTTCTGAGTACTCATTTTGAATCATGATAATTGGTGTGGAATAATAGTTCGCTGTATAAAGCATTGAATTTTCAGCCATTGGGTTGAACCTTTGAATTTTTAGTTTTGACTAGTCGTGCACTATTTTTGGTTCTCACACAACATAGCTCACCAACGAGCAAATGAATCTACATGACTACTGAGTCGTATAATTGAGGAATAATCAATTTTAACTGAATAATTATTAGTTTTTTTCTAAGTATTAACTCATTTGCTCTTTTTCCTTAATATGAGACTATTATATCATTTTTCTGGTTTCTTGGTTTTTGAGGATTTTACTTTCTTTATGATCACAGTCACCATTAAAATAATGTAGTTTACGATCACAAATCTGTTCAATATGTTTACATAAAGTTATATTAGTCAGGATCGAATAAAAGTTTCTAGTTATGATTCTGATCTTTTATCACATTTATTCAAAATTCATTATCACATTAGATGATAAAACATTTTTACTACATGTGTACAGATTTTATTTTCACAAAAAGCGGTTTCCGGATTGTCATGTAACGTCATTGGAGTTCGAAAATATATTCTCATAGATTGAGATAAACCATACTGCTGTCATTTCATCAAATTTTTAATGTGAAAAGAACTGGGCCAGAATAAAGCTCATCACGTTAAACTTATTTTTTATGACTGAATCATATTTTGTGGAACAAGCAATACTTCTGTGTGATTTGTCAGTCAGGATCAGATCTAATTATTTTAGTTCCATAACCCAGATGACTTTGCTGGAATGCTTAAGGTCTATAATAACAATCCCAACAAATTTATATCAATATTTTCTCTAAACACTTCTCCAGTGGCGATTAAATTTGTAAACAGATGTTGTCCCTTATGAAATTATTATTCATGAAGTGATTATAATCAAATGGAAGTTTAAGGTAATTGAAGTGCAGTCGTACATTCGAATTTAATCGTCAAAGAATTCCTCTGTATATGGTTAGTATAATCGCTTGTCATTTATCATACTTTTAACTCCAATAATATACTTTTGTGTTTCTTATCAGATTTGAAATTATTTTAATATTTTATTCTAGATGGTCGAAAAAATGCACCCGTTCTCCATGGATCGATAACATCAGCTGGTTTTCTGAAAGATGCATGCAATGTAGTCAAAAAGTTCATCACTTGTTTACCTGGAAGTGTAGAATTCAGTTTGATGGGATTATGTTCCGATAATAACTGACTACAATAATGAATTTTTCTGTTTTTTTTACACTATATCTCCGTCTCACCTACTTGTAGCACATCACTTAACTGCATTTTGTGGTATACATTGCTATTTTTAATTTTTGTACGATTTCTATAATTAAAAAACAAATCAGTCATACATTATTAATGTTTCTTATACAACTGTTCAATGAAATGTTTTGTGTAATTGAAATAATGAAACAAAAAACAATGAAGTATGATAGTAGAATTAAGTAAATTCTATTAGTTGTAAACTTAAGGCATAAGTTTAACAAAATACAAATAAAAATAACCATAAATGGAGATGAGATACGTGTCCGTAAATTTCTAAAGCGCCCGTTTTTGTCCTATTTGTATGCATTATCAGGCATTTTCCTCTCACTTAATGTGTTAATGTTGGATGCAGGAGTATAATTTTCACTAAGAATTTCAGGTTCCAACTTTCACTTTGTTTACATTTTTCATCCGATAATTTGGGTTACGATAGAGTGACATAGCTTCAGAGGATTGAAATGAAATCCGCGGTAAGAATTATGGCTGCATGTGCAACACATACATGAAATGAACAAGAACACACTAGATATCGTACTTTTATAGAACAAGAAGTGGATACCCGACGTCCAATGTACGCTGGTGAATACTGAATGTCTCCCTTGTGGGATCGGGAAACCCTGAATTCCAACTAGTTGTGCACATGTAATCATGAGTGGACAAATAAACTTATCACTGATTTCAATCGAACTGCTTCTGACATTGGGACAACTTTGTGGATTCGATCTTGAAATCAAAGGCTTGGGGTGATCCTAAGGAAACCACCTGCTCTGGTTTAGGGGTCCAGAGTCTATCACTTACCACAAAAATAATGATAGCGAAGGGGAAAATGAACTGCTCGTTGTTGATCCAGACACTGGTCTGCCTTTTCTTAATCGTTAGCTCAGTAAAAATCCAATAATCGAAATCCTGGTTTACTCTTCTAGTTCCAGATGCTATTCCAGCTATTGTCGTATTACTTTCCTTAACCAGTGAGATGTCTAGGCTAGTATGAATAACCTTGATCACAAAATAATCCTGGTCTTCATTGTTTCACCGATATGGATGTATGCGTTTCTTCTAGCCTAGTCTTCAGTCCAGTAATAGAACTTAGTAAAGTAACTTATGTAAACTAATTCATACAATAATATAGATTAATTTTCTGATCACACATCAGCACGAGTAGGGAATTTCAATATAGGCATAAATACTCAAAAAGTAGAAGTGGTGGGAGGTAAAATGTGAATGGCCAATTAACTGAAATTAAGGAATGGTAAAAAAGTACAGTAATGATTTATGGGTCCACTGGAAGCTTACACTAAAGAGAATATAATAATATAGTGATACATTTATCGGTTTGGGCAGCCGGGCAGTATCACAGCCCTCACACATATCGAATCAGATTTGTGTGGCGCATATGTATTTGGTGCCTCCTTGTACCAATATCTATGTGTTAAAATAAATAAATAATAATCATACAATAAAAATATCGATAATATAAATATGTAAATTAGTCCAATAAGTTACACTTATACCGATACTCGGCCCACCATAACAGCATTCTTTCTTGATGCAACAAAATCTTTATTTCTTGAATAAATAAATCGAAACACTTTATATTAAAAGTCAATAAATCATAACCATAAATTGTATACTACAGAAGACTCATCAATAATGTCAAGTGACAAATTTCTTAACAAATAGAAATTTAAGTAAAATACATACTCAAATATATATAGATTATGAAAGGAATTTTCTTCACAAACTGACATTTAGAGGAACGATAGATATCAAAGATCACTGAACAACTACTTCTTAGCTGTTTAGTACACCTTAACAATATAGAGTTAAATCTTCACCTAGAATTGAGCGCTACATTCTGTAGTATCTCTATATACATAAAATTACTCAATCATTGGATTTCAATCAAATGGTTATTACTGATACAAAATTATTCATATCCTTGTCCTTAAAGATTTTATAGTTTCTTTTCAATTATTAAATCCTATCAGTTTTGAATGAGACTTTTGTAATTTATTTACTTATTTAAGTATTTGTTTTCAGATTAAATTAATGTTGAATAAACTTTCACGTGATGCCTCATATAAATATTGTAGTAGTTCAATCCATTGTTCTATTTTTTGTTTGTTTTATGTAATCATAATACTACTATACTTTAAACTGTATAAAATATTCTAATTAAAAAGTTAATTAAGGTTGAGAGCATAACTGTACCTAGTAGTAGTAATAACTTATTATATGCATTAACATCTCATACATTTCAAACGATCATTGATTTTTATAGTATTGTAGGTTCCTTCTAACAATGATCAATCTTAATTTAAGCGTTTAATAGTGAATCCAATTATTTTAAAGTATTCAATACTATTTACGAATAAAAGAAAATATTGTTGCTGAACTAGAAAATTTTAGCAAATATTTTATTTGAGCGCTATAAGTATTATTGACAAATCAGAGTATCTACAAGTTCATAATTAAAACAAGCATAACTTGGTGGTTAATTGCAGATAATGTGAAACCCCTGTACTACTTGCTTCTATTCAATAAATCATAAGAGAATTGATGTTCCATGTAGTATTCAAACTCGCATCACTAATTTTTCCTCCTAACTATCTCCAATCATTTAATTTCTCAACATTTTGCACGTGATGCATGGTCAGTTGGACTGGAGGTAATATTACAATATGATCGATAGGATTCGATCAGCATTTGAGACTAGACATGTTATGTGGATGATATATTTCGGAATGATTGATCGACGTTATTTGTTAGGTTCGCAAATCAGAATTTTGACTATAATTTTCAAATGCCTCATCTGCTATTCTGTCTATGGCCTAGCATATTTATCCTTAACCAATTGATAATGCACTCTGATTGACAAAATCTACGTTGAGCTAGCGTAAGCTGAACATCTACAGTCTACCTCCTACCCCCAACCTCGAGTTCGGCAAAAGTCTGCAGTCAGACCTTTGGACTATATTTCAATAAATCAACCCAGCAGCTAACTCAAGCATTCATTAATTTGTATACATGAAAAACCGAACTAGATCACAGCGTAAAGTATTAAAGCACAGCTATTACACAAATATGCCAAAATTGGTTGTAAACCAAGCAAACTGTAAATTATTACACAGGTTGAAATCACGAGTCAGTTGAGACTAGACCACCATTGAAAACCTGGAAGCACTGGACGGCCGTTTCGTCCTGGTATGGGGCTCCTCAGCAGTGCGCATCCACGATCCCGCACCACGCCGGGCTCGAACCCAGGACCTACTGGCTTCGCACGCGAGCACTTAACCACTAGACCACTGAGCCGGCATTAACACCGCTGGAGTCCCATACCAGGACGAAACGGCCGTCCAGTGCTTCCAGGTTTTCAATGGTGGTCTAGCTTCAACTGACTCATGATTTCAACCTGTGACATTTCTACAACTCTCCACAAAACCCATTCTGTAAATTATTAGTTAATATGTCAAACGGAAAATTAAAATTAGCGAAATATAGAAGCAGTGTTCCAGTTACTTAGTAATCATAGAATAAATCTATCCATAAAAATATTTTGAAAAGTAGTTGAAAAATTTCTAACCAGTTCAGTTATAACAATATTCGTCACTACTACTACAGTAGCGGGAAGTAAAATATATATTAATTTGGGAAATATGTACTTATATCAAGATCATGGTGCATTTAACCTAACGATTCGAAATTCGGTGGTTCATATTTTGTAACTCAGTCAGTTTGTGATATTATATGAACCCTATCCAGTGTTACCAACTCTCGATTTGACTGCGTTCTGTAGGTCACATTATATCCTGAAATGATTGAAGTTGGAAGCGTAGGCTCATGGATCCCAACTGAGTGACCGAATAGTTAAGTGCTTGCTACGAAACCTTAAGTCCATGAAATATATCCTTTGAAGTATCATGGGTGCATACTCCTGAAGAGCCTCATACAAAAACGGAACAGCCGTTTCCTTTTCCCTGGTTTTGAATTGTACTCCAGCTGATGTCACTATGTGACGAACACCATATACAAGTTTTGAGGAACAATCTCCAAATAACAAGAATAGCCAACAAGGCGTAAACTTGTGCATTTAAAATATCTATGTAACCTCAATTGTCGAAACGGAATGATTAGTTGAAGGTCACAAGCTGTCTTTGGAATGATAATTTAAGATAGGTTATTCAAAAATGATAAAAGCATTGTAGTTACTCAATCTTGAATAGGAAACTTAAGCCCTAATTTATTGTGACCTCATGTAAATGACTTTTTCAGAAAAGAACTAACGTGAAAAACGTTTAATTAGTAAAAGAAACAAATTGAATAAAATAACAAATACAATCACGTTTAAGTATAGTGATAAACGTGATTCATTTTAAATTTTGTTATGGTGCATACGTATTGGTGTGTGTTAATGCCAGATTAGGCTCTAACTGGTTGATTCGATCTGTCAACTTATTAGTTGTATGAAATGTATTATAATTATCAGCACTTGTATTTTGCACGAACAAGAATAGTTCGACAATCTCCACAACCCACTATGTTTGTTTGTTGTTGGCTAGAAAGAGTTAATTCTTTACTGTTTTAGAATTTGTTTTAATTCGTTTGTTGTAAGTTAGTGGCAATATAAAACTGAAGTATCAATTCATGGGTTTTTTTTCCGGTTTTCCTTCCAAGAACTAACTGCTTTTTCTAAACATAGTTTCAATAATGTTCGTTGGAAAACTATTTGGATTATAGTACACTTATTATACAGCTTATGTTCATTTTGTTCTGTTATAATTTTAGTTGCTCTATTGAATATATGGAAATCAAAATATAGTTTAGTTCTGGAAAGAATTTCTTATTTGATTGTTTCTCATCACCATAAATGACTATATTGAGTGTTCCATTCAAATTTCTTTTAAATAAGCAGTCTTGAGAGGTGAATTCAGTTTTGTTTTT